GGACTCATCAGACCAAGGGACAGATTTCCACCGGTCTAATGTCCATTGCTAATGTCCTCTTCTTCTTATTGGTGTCCTTTAGTAGTGGTTTCTTTGCAGCAATTTGACCATGAAGGCCTGATTCACACAGTCTCCTCTGAACAGTTGATGTTGAGATGTGTCTGTTACTTGAACTCTGTGAAGCATTTATTTGAGCTGCAATTTCTGAGGCTGTTAACTCTAATGAACGTATCCTCTGCAGCAGAGGTAAATCTGTGTCTTCGATTCCTGTGGCGGTCCTCATGAGAGCTAGTTTCATCGTAGCGCTTGATGGTTTTTGCGACTGCACTTGAAGAAATGTTCAAAGTTCTTGAAATGTTCCGTATTGACTGACCTTCATGTCTTAAAGTAATGATGGACTGTCATTTCCCTTTGCTTATTTGAGCTGTTCTTGCCATAATATGGACTTGGTCTTTTACCAAATAGGGCTATCTTCTGTATACCACCCCTACCTTGTCACAACACAACTGATTGGCTCAAACGCATTAAGAAGAAAATAAATTCCACAAATTAACTTTTAAGAAGGCACACCTGTTAATGGGCGAGGGGTCCCTCAGACGTTGGTGATAGCCCGGGAGGAGGTGGACTGGGTGCACTCACCGCTCCCTGAGGTGGAACCGGAGCGATGGTCAGTTTATGCAGCGTTTGGAGCACTTCCTGCATGGCGGCGTTCAGCTGGGCAATCTGCTGCTGGTGCTGGTCGAGGCGCTGGGAAACTCCAGGAGGATTACCTGCTGCATCCATCTTCGTGATTGGTGTGTGATTCTGTGACGAGTACTGAGGATACGAAGAGGCAGGACGCAGACGCAGGAATCAACAATGTAAAGGTTTACTTAACACTGAGCAAGAGAACAACAAAGAGCGAGGACACGACATGACACTAACAATCACACAACACTGAACAGTCCATGGCTATATAGGGGGTGGTGATGAGATGATGAGGTGCGGGTGCGCTGGAGGTGATTAGGGTGCGTTGGGTTTCATTTCGGTGTTGCCGAGGTGGTACGCTCAGACCGGTGGCTCAGTAGACCGTCGAATCAGAGCGCCAGGAGGAGACATGACAGCCGGATCGGGGATTTGAACTGGTGAACTTTCAGTTACTGGCCCAACGTTCTTAACTGCGAGGCCACCGCCACCAACCAGTGCTCTTAACCTCTATGCTTGATATACTGTATATGATATAGTGTGAAGTTATGCCTTGATATACTGTATATGATATAGTGTGAAGTTATGCCTTGATATACTGTATATTATATAGTGTAAATTAGGCCTTGATATACTGTATATTATATAGTGTAAAGTTAGGCTTTGATATACTGTATATTATATAGTGTAAAGTTAGGCCTTGATATACTGTATATTATATAGTGTAAAGTTAGGCTCTGATACTGTATATTATATAGTGTAAAGTTAGGCCTTGGTATACTGTATATTATATAGTGTAAAGTTAGGCCTTGATATACTGTATATTATATAGTGTAAAGTTAGGCCTTGATATACTGTATATTATATAGTGTAAAGTTAGGCCTTGGTATACTGTATATTATATAGTGTAACGTTAGGCTCTGATACTGTATATTATATAGTGTAAAGTTAGGCCTTGGTATACTGTATATTATATAGTGTAAAGTTAGGCCTTGGTATACTATATATTATATAGTGTAAAGTTAGGCTCTGATACTGTATATTATATAGTGTAAAGTTAGGCCTTGGTATACTGTATATTATATAGTGTAAAGTTAGGCCTTGGTATACTATATATTATATAGTGTAACGTTAGGCTCTGATACTGTATATTATATAGTGTAAAGTTAGGCCTTGATATACTGTATATTATATAGTGTAAAGTTAGGCCTTGATATACTGTATATTATATAGTGTAAAGTTAGGCCTTGATATACTGTATATTATATAGTGTAAAGTTAGGCCTTGGTATACTGTATATTATATAGTGTAAAGTTAGGCTCTGATACTGATTTTGTCTTTATGAGGTCTCTGGTTCCTCTGCTTCTCATTGGTCACTGCGTCCCTTTATTCATAACTATTGTGTTACCCTACTACACACACACACACACACACAAACACACACACACACACACACACACACACACAAACACACACACACACACACACACACACAAACACACACACACACACACACACACACACAAAAACACACCACACACACACACACACACACACACACACAAACACACACACACTCACACCACTGACAGCCCATGACACATGCAGCTCTATTGACACAGCAACACAAATGATCCATTCTGTCCCTTTCTTTTTGTCTTGTTGTATTTTACTTTCCATTTAGCTGACGGGGTGATCTATGTGTAGACAGGGGGAGGAGGGGGAGGGGGAGGAGGGAGGGGAGGGGAGGGGAGGGGAGGGGAGGGGAGGGGAGGGGAGGGGAGGGGAGGGGAGGGGAGGGGAGGGGAGAGTCCATGTTCCCTGGCAGCTCCTGAGTGTTCTGGGTTACCTTTTGAACCGTTACAGGATGGTTCTGGTACAGGCGTGTAGCTAGCGTGTAGCTAGCGTGGCTGGGTGGCTGGGGGCTTTTGTTCTGTGTTGTATTGCAACCTATTGTGAAGCGCTGCCTTGTGGTAAGGCAAGGGGGGGGGGGTTAACCTCATTGTGATGTCACTGTAGAATGTTGAGATGGATTGGCCAATGGGAGGTTTCTCTCTGTAGAATGTTGGGTGAAGTGAGCTTCGTTGTGATGCGTACGTGAAACGTTGTGTGAGATCCATCCATGGGGATGTCAAAGTAGAATAGATGTTTGAGCTGAGCTGAGTTCTGTGTCTCCTCTCATGTTCATCACGTGTCACCGGGCTGGTATCTAATACATTGGCCTTACTACAGCGATAGCTGCTCTGGAAATGTCATCCGGTGTGTGGTGGGGAGTCATTCATTCACTCTAGGTTTTCCCGGGACTTTTAAGTTGTCCTGTGAATAAATGTGTTGAGTTGACTAATGCTGCTATCATGGATTGAATAAATGTATCCATTAAACTGTGTTCAGCGGATGTAAAAACACTCATATTCAGTCTTTGAGAAAGAACATTGCTACATTGACTGAATATTCTTGTCATACTAGGCCTAATGTGGAAGATGTGGGAGTATGAACTAGTTGTTAACAGTTTATAGCAATAACCTCAAGAGTTTCTAAAGCAGAAATAGACTAGTCTTCTGTATCACACTAATCAAAGTGTTGGAGGACAATCCAGGTGAATCAGTGTGAAATATAGCTACTCTATCAACGTGTTTGTTTTATTGATTGCTATTGATTGATAGTGTGTTTTAGTGTCATCCTTCTGCCTCGTTCCTTTCCAGCCTACACTACCCAGAAACACCCAGAACACGGTCAGCGCCTCGTTCCTTTCCAGCCTACACTACCCAGAGACACCCAGAACACGGTCAGCTTTCTGCTGTCCTGGGCATTACCATGGAGAAGCTGTGATTTGCTTACAAAGAGCTTGTAGCCAATCAGACACGTGCCATGGAATCCTATTCTCAACCAATGGTTGCAGTTGTAAAATGTGCATACAGGGGGCTTGACCAATCCCGTGGCACTACAGGAGAAGGTTCTGCGTGTTCTGGCCTATGGGCGGACGGGATGCAGAGATGACGGTCTGCATATGATTAGCATGTGATTATGGAAGGGGTTTAGTGTTGATCCAGTATGTGGTGGTAGTTCTAAACTTGCGCCGTGGACCAGCTGGTTGAACTCTTCGATCCTCTCTGGCGGGAATAATATCTCTGTAGCACAACATGCCTAAAAGGAAGGTGAGTCAAGCTGTTTTTAAACCGTACTAGTTGTGAATGTAGTTTATGTTGTATTTGAGAGAGGATAGCACTGTGTCGCTGCCTCCCCCCTGGTTCTGTTTAGCGATGCCGAGCCGGAACATTGCCAGTTAGAACGGTTCAGTTGTGACCGTTTGGTCCGGTGGGGAGACTAGAGGGAATGCGCGGGACATGTCAGCATTCCTCTGTGTTATTCGGTGTGTTTTATGTCGAAGCCCCTGCTCTCTCGCTCTCCATGGCCGGTGTGTTGGCCTCTGTCCCCTCTCTCCCTGTCCACACCAGACTGTCTGTCACCACCCCGTGCACAGCTCGTACTCCGGAATGTCACCCATCCAGCGGGTAGGGATGCGTGCCACACTGTCGCAGCTGGCGGTTTAAAGTGACCGTCTTATCCCACAGCGACTGCATGTTAGTGTGTCAGTTTCACCGAGGGACTTAATCTGTGTTTGAAGGAGGGATGTCTGCCTTTATTTATTTTGTAGTATTATATGTTTTTTTACAGCAACACCCTCTTCTTCTTCCCTCTCTCTGTCGCCTTTCAGACCCATATGAAAACCCACACTGACAAATGGGGGGAGAGCCGAGAAACAGTGAGAGAGAAGAGAGAGAAGGGGAGGAGAAAAGAGAGAGGGCGGGGGGGGGCGGGGGGGGGGGGAGAGAGCCAGAGAGAGGGAGAAAAGAGAGAGGAGAGAGGAGGGGGGGGGCAGCAGAGAGGGAGAACAGAGAGAGGGGGGGGGGGAGAGCAGAGAGAGGGGAGAGAGACAGAGAGAGAGAGGGAGAAAGGGAGCGAGAGGGGGAGAGAGAGAGGAGGGGGGAGAAGGAGAGAGCAGGAGATGGGGAGGGGGGAGAGGCAGAGAGAGAGGGGAGAACAGAGAGAGAGAGAAGAGGGGGGGGGGAGGGGGAGGAGAGCAGAGAGAGGGGAGAACAGAGAGAGAGAGAGAGAGGGGGGGGGGGGGGAGGGGGAGAGCAGAGAGAGGGGAGAACAGAGAGAGGAGAGGGGAGAGACAAGACGAGGGGGGGGGGGGGGGGGAGCAGAGAGAGAGAGAGGGGAGAACAGAGAGAGAGAGATAGAGGGGGGGGAGAGGAACAGAGAGAGGGGAGAACAGAGAGAGAGAGAGAGAGGGGGGAGAGGGAGAGAGACATATGGGGACTGGTTATAGACAGTTGTTACAGAGAGCAGCGATAGCCTATCAAAACAGCCATTTGTTCGTGGCTGTGGTACATTGTATTAGGGAACACACAGGGACAGGGTGTTGTTATAGAAGTGGGCTGTTCTATAACCTTTCTCTCTTTGAGGACAGAGAGAGAGAGAGGGGGGGGGGGGGGGGGGGGGGGGGGTGAGAGGGTTGGAGGTCATCGATAAATGATTCTCTGGCCAAACCACTGAGGCGTTTTCCTGTTTTACTGAGAGGAAGACCATAGATGTGCTGCTGTCTACACACCTACCTGTCTACACACCTGCCTGTCTACACACCTGCCTACCTGTCTACACACCTACCTGTCTACACACCTACCTGTCTACACACCTACCTGTCTACACACCTACCTGTCTACACACCTACCTGTCTACACAACCTACCCTGTCTACACACCTGCCTGTCTACACACCTACCTGTCTACACACCTGCCTGTCTACACACCTACCTGTCTACACACCTGCCTTGTCTACACACCTACCTTGTCTACACACCTCCCTGTCTAACACACCTCCCTGGTCTACACAACCTACCTGGTCTACACACCTACTGTCTACACACTGTCTACACACCTGCCTGTCTACACACCTGCCTGTCTACACACCTACCTGTCTACACACCTACCTGTCTACACACCTACCTGTCTACACACCTACCTGTCTACACACCTACCTGTCTACACACCTACCTGTCTACACACCTACCTGTCTACACACCTACCTACCTGTCTACACACCTGCCTGCCTACACACCTGCCTGTCTACACACCTACCTGTCTACACACCTACCTGTCTACACACCTACCTGTCTACACACCTATCTACCTGTCTACACACCTACCTGTCTACACACCTCCTGTCTACACACCTACTGTCTACACACCTACCTGTCTACACACCTGCCTACCTGTCTACACACCTGCCTACCTGTCTACACACCTGCCTGTCTACACACCTGCCTACCTGTCTACACACCTGCCTGTCTACACACCTACCTGTCTACACACCTGCCTGTCTACACACCTACCTGTCTACACACCTGCCTGTCTACACACCTACCTGTCTACACACCTACCTGTCTACACACCTACCTACCTGTCTACACACCTGCCTGTCTACACACCTGCCTGTCTACACACCTGCCTGTCTACACACCTACCTGTCTACACACCTGCCTGTCTACACACCTACCTACCTGTCTACACACCTACCTGTCTACACACCTACCTACCTGTCTACACACCTGCCTGTCTACACACCTACCTGTCTACACACCTACCTGTCTACACACCTGCCTGTCTACACACCTACCTGTCTACACACCTGCCTACCTGTCTACACACCTGCCTGTCTACACACCTGCCTGTCTACACACCTGCCTGTCTACACAGCTGCCTACCTGTCTACACACCTGCCTGTCTACACACCTGCCTGTCTACACACCTACCTGTCTACACACCTACCTGTCTACACACCTGCCTACCTGTCTACACACCTACCTGTCTACACACCTGCCTGTCTACACACCTACCTGTCTACACACCTACCTGTCTACACACCTACCTGTCTACACACCTACCTGTCTACACACCTGCCTGTCTACACACCTGCCTGTCTACACACCTACCTACCTGTCTACACACCTGCCTGCCTGTCTACACACCTGCCTGTCTACACACCTACCTGTCTACACACCTGCCTGTCTACACACCTGCCTGTCTACACACCACCTGTCTACACACCTCCTGTCTACACACCTACCTGTCTACACACCTACCTGTCTACACACCTACCGTCTACACACCTCCAGTCTACACACCTCCTGTCTACACACCTACCTGTCTACACACTACCTGTCTACACACCTACCTGTCTACACACCTGCCTGTCTACACACCTACCTGTCTACACACCTGCCTGCCTGTCTACACACCTGCCTGTCTACACACCTGCCTGTCTACACACCTACCTACCTGTCTACACACCTACCTGTCTACACACCTGCCTGTCTACACACCTACCTGTCTACACACCTACCTGTCTACACACACCTGTCTACACACTGCCTCGTCTACACACCTTACCTGTCTACACACCTGCCTGTCTACACACCTGCCTGTCTACACACCTGCCTGTCTACACACCTACCTGTCTACACACCTGCCTAGCTGTCTACACACCTACCTGTCTACACACCTACCTGTCTACACACCTACCTGTCTACACACCTGCCTGTCTACACACCTGCCTGTCTACACACCTGACCTGTCTACACACCTACCTGTCTACACACCTGCCTGTCTACACACCTGCTGTCTACACACCTAACCTGTCTACACACCTGCCTGTCTACACACCTACCTGTCTACACACCTGCCTGTCTACACACCTACCTGTCTACACACCTGCCTGTCTACACACCTGCCTGTCTACACACCTACCTGTCTACACACCTACCTGTCTACACACCTGCCTGTCTACACACCTGCCTGTCTACACACCTGCCTAGCTGTCTACACACCTGCCCTGTCTACCACACCTACCTGTCTACACACCTGCCTGTCTACACACCTACCTGTCTACACACCTGCCTACCTGTCTACACACCTACCTGTCTACACACCTGCCTGTCTACACACCTGCCTGTCTACACACCTACCTGTCTACACACCTACCTGTCTACCCACCTACCTACCTGTCTACACACCTACCTACCTGTCTACACACCTGCCTGTCTACACACCTGCCTAGCTGTCTACACACCTGCCTGTCTACACACCTACCTGTCTACACACCTACCTGTCTACACACCTGCCTGTCTACACACCTGCCTACCTGTCTACACACCTGCCTGTCTACACACCTGCCTACCTGTCTACACACCTACCTGTCTACACACCTGCCTGTCTACACACCTGCCTACCTGTCTACACACCTACCTGTCTACACACCTACCTGTCTACACACCTACCTGTCTACACACCTACCTGTCTACACACCTGCCTGTCTACACACCTGCCTGTCTACACACCTACCTGTCTACACACCTGCCTGTCTACACACCTGCCTGTCTACACACCTGCCTGTCTACACACCTGCCTACCTGTCTACACACCTACCTGTCTACACACCTGCCTGTCTACACACCTACCTGTCTACACACCTGCCTGTCTACACACCTACCTGTCTACACACCTGCCTACCTGTCTACACACCTGCCTGTCTACACACCTACCTGTCTACACACCTGCCTGTCTACACACCTACCTGTCTACACACCTGCCTACCTGTCTACACACCTACCTGTCTACACACCTACCTGTCTACACACCTACCTGTCTACACACCTGCCTGTCTACACACCTACCTGTCTACACACCTACCTGTCTACACACCTGCCTGTCTACACACCTACCTACCTGTCTACACACCTGCCTACCTGTCTACACACCTACCTGTCCACACACCTGCCTGTCTACACACCTACCTGTCTACACACCTGCCTGTCTACACACCTACCTGTCTACACCTACCTGTCTACACACCTACCTGTCTACACACCTACCTGTCTACACACCTGCCTGTCTACACACCTACCTACCTGTCTACACACCTACTTGTCTACACACCTGCCTGTCTACACACCTACCTACCTGTCTACACACCTGCCTACCTGTCTACACACCTACCTGTCCACACACCTGCCTACCTGTCTACACACCTACCTGTCTACACACCTGCCTGTCTACACACCTGCCTACCTGTCTACACACCTACCTGTCTACACACCTGCCTACCTGTCTACACACCTACCTGTCTACACACCTGCCTGTCTACACACCTGCCTACCTGTCTACACACCTACCTGTCCACACACCTGCCTACCTGTCTACACACCTGTCTACCTGTCTACACACCTGCCTGTCTACACACCTGCCTACCTGTCTACACACCTGTCTACCTGTCTACACACCTACCTGTCCACACACCTGCCTACCTGTCTACACACCTGTCTACCTGTCTACACACCTACCTGTCCACACACCTGCCTACCTGTCTACACACCTACCTGTCCACACACCTGCCTACCTGTCTACACACCTGCCTACCTGTCTACACACCTACCTGTCTACACACCTGCCTACCTGTCTACACACCTGCCTGCCTGTCTACACACCTGCCTGTCTACACACCTGCCTACCTGTCTACACACCTACCTATCTACACACCTGCCTGTCTACACACCTGCCTGCCTGTCTACACACCTGCCTGTCTACACACCTGCCTGTCTGCACACCTGCCTGCCTGTCTACACACCTGCCTGTCTACACACCTGCCTGTCTACACACCTGCCTATCTACACACCTGCCTGTCTACACACCTGCCTGCCTGTCTACACACCTGCCTGTCTACACACCTGCCTGTCTACACACCTGCCTGTCTACACACCTGCCTGTCTACACACCTGCCTGTCTAACACACCTGCCTGTCTACACACCTACCTGGTCACACACCTGCCTGTCTACACACCTGCCTGCCTGTCTACACACCTGCCTGCCTGTCTACCACCTGCCTGTCTACACACCTGCCTGTCTACACACCTGCCTGTCTACACACCTACCTGTCTACACACCTGCCTGTCTACACACCTGCCTGCCTGTCTACACACCTGCCTGTCTACACCCTGCCTGTCTACACACCTGCCTGTCTACACACCTGCCTGTCTACACACCTACCTGTCTACACACCTGCCTGTCTACACACCTACCTACCTGTCTACACACCTGCCTGTCTACACACCTACCTGTCTACACACCTGCCTACCTGTCTACACACCTGCCTACCTGTCTACACACCTACCTGTCTACACACCTACCTGTCTACACACCTGCCTGTCTACACACCTACCTGTCTACACACCTACCTGTCTACACACCTGCCTGTCTACACACCTGCCTGTCTACACACCTGCCTGTCTACACACCTACCTGTCTACACACCTACCTGTCTACACACCTGCCTGTCTACACACCTACCTCCTGTCTACACACCTACCTGTCTACACACCTACCTACCTGTCTACACACCTGCCTGCCTACACACCTGCCTGTCTACACACCTGCCTACCTGTCTACACACCTGCCTACCTGTCTACACACCTACCTGTCTACACACCTGCCTACCTGTCTACACACCTACCTGTCTACACACCTGCCTGTCTACACACCTGCCTACCTGTCTACACACCTACCTGTCCACACACCTGCCTACCTGTCTACACACCTGTCTACCTGTCTACACACCTGCCTGTCTACACACCTGCCTACCTGTCTACACACCTGTCTACCTGTCTACACACCTACCTGTCCACACACCTGCCTACCTGTCTACACACCTGTCTACCTGTCTACACACCTACCTGTCCACACACCTGCCTACCTGTCTACACACCTACCTGTCCACACACCTGCCTACCTGTCTACACACCTGTCTACCTGTCTACACACCTACCTGTCCACACACCTGCCTACCTGTCTACACACCTGTCTACCTGTCCTACACACCTACCTGTCCACACACCTGCCTACCTGTCTACACACCTACCTGTCTACACACCTGCCTACCTGTCTACACACCTACCTGTCTACACACCTGCCTACCTGTCTACACACCTGCCTGCCTGTCTACACACCTGCCTGTCTACACACCTGCCTGTCTACACACCTGCCTGTCTACACACCTGCCTGTCTACACACCTACCTGTCTACACACCTGCCTGTCTACACACCTGCCTGCCTGTCTACACACCTGCCTGTCTACACACCTGCCTGTCTACACACCTGCCTGTCTACACACCTGCCTGTCTACACACCTACCTGTCTACACACCTGCCTGTCTACACACCTACCTACCTGTCTACACACCTGCCTGTCTACACACCTACCTGTCTACACACCTGCCTACCTGTCTACACACCTGCCTACCTGTCTACACACCTACCTGTCTACACACCTACCTGTCTACACACCTACCTGTCTACACACCTACCTGTCTACACACCTACCTGTCTACACACCTACCTGTCTACACACCTACCTGTCTACACACCTGCCTGTCTACACCTACCTGCCTGTCTACACACCTACCTGTCTACACACCTGCCTGTCTACACACCTACCTGTCTACACACCTGCCTGTCTACACACCTACCTACCTGTCTACACACCTGCCTGTCTACACACCTACCTGTCTACACACCTACCTGTCTACACACCTGCCTGTCTACACACCTACCTGTCTACACACCTGTCTACCTGTCTACACACCTGTCTACCTGTCTACACACCTGCCTGTCTACACACCTGCCTACCTGTCTACACACCTACCTGTCTACACACCTACCTGTCTACACACCTGCCTGTCTACCCACCTACCTACCTGTCTACACACCTGCCTACCTGTCTACACACCTGTCTACCTGTCTACCCACCTACCTACCTGTCTACACACCTGCCTGTCTACACACCTGTCTAGCTGTCTACTAGGGCTGTGTGGTATACCGTATTTTACAATATACCGGTATTGATGCACGAACCGGTTTGGGTTTTTACTTTACATTCTATAACGGTATTTGAATGTTTGGTTTATTAAATGTGATACGCCGTGTGTAACGTCCATTTTTATAGTTAACTTCGCCACTTGAGTCATCTTTCTCCATGCCGCTTTCCACACAGATCTAGCCCCGCCCCCTGTCACTCAAGGAGCATGGCAACCACAGCTTTCTGCAGCGATACGCCATCCCATCTGGTTTGGGCTTAGTGGGACTATCATTAGTTTTTCAACAGGACAATGACCCAACACACCTACAGGCTGTGTAAGGGATATTTTACCAAGAAGGAGAGTGATGGAGTGCTGCATCAGATGACCTGGCCTCCAATATCCCCAGATCTCAACCAAATTGAGATGGTTTGGGATGAGTCGGACTGCTGAGTGAAGGAAAAGCAGCCAACAAGTGCTCAGCATATGTGGGAACTCTTTCAAGACTGTTGGAAAGCATTCCAGGTGAAGCTGGTTGAGAGAATGCCAAGAGTGTGCGAAGCTGTCATCAAGGCAAATTTTAAGAATCTCAAATATAAAATATATTTTGATTTGTTTAACACTTTTATGGTTACTACATGATTCCATATGTGTTATTTCATAGTTGTGATGTCTTCACTATTATCCTACAATGTAGAAAATAGTAAAAATACAGAAAAGCCCTTGAATGAGTAGGTGTTCTAAACCGTTTGACCGGTAGTGTATATTTTGGGAGTTTCTCCCATTATTTTCTGCGGATCCTCTCAAGTTCTGTCAGGTTGGATGGGGAGCGTCGCTGCCCAGCTATTTTCAGGTCTCTCCAGAGATGTTCGATTGGGTTCAAGTCCGGGCTCTGGCTGGGCCACTCAAGGACATTCAGAGACTTGTCTTGGCTGTGTGATTAGGGCCGTTGTCCTGTTGGCAGGTGAACCTTTGCACCAATCTCAGGTCCTGAGTGCTCTGGAGCAGGTTTTCATCAAGGATCTCTCTGTACTTTGCTCCATTCAACTTTCCCTCGATCTGACTAGTCTCCCAGTCCCTGCCGCTTAAAAACATCCCCACAGCATGATGCTGCCACCATCATGCTTCACCGTAGGAACGGTGCCAGGTTTCCTCCAGATGTGACACTTGGCATTCAGGCCAAAGAGTTCAATCTTGGTTTCATCAGACCAGATCATCTTTTTTGTCATGGTCTGAGAGTCTTTAGGTGCCTTTTGGCAAACTCCAAGCGGGCTGTCATGTTCCTTTTACTGAGGAGTGGCTTCCGTCTGGCCACTCTACCATAAAGGCCTGACTGGTGGAGTGCTGCAGAGATGGTTGTCCTTCTGGAAGGTTCTCCCATCTCCACAGAGGAATTCTGGAGCTCTGTCAGTGACCATCAGATTCTTGGTCACCTCCCTGACCAAGGCCCTTCTCCCCCGATTGCTCGATTTGGCCGGCAGCCAGCTCTAGGAAGAGTCTTGGTGGTTCCAAACTTCTTCCATTTAAGAATGATGAAGGCCACTGTGTTCTTGGGTACCTTCAATGCTGCAGACATTTTTTGGTACCCTTCCCAGATCTGTGCCTCGACACAATCCTGTCTTGGAGCTCTATGGACAATTCCTTCGACCTCATGGCTTGGTTTTTGCTCTGACATGCACTGTCAACTGTGGGACCTTATATAGACAGGTGTGTGCCTTTCCAAATAATGTCCAATCAATTGAATTTACCATAGGTGGACTCCAATCAAGTTGTAGAAACATCTCAAGGATGATCAATGGAAACAGGATGCACCTGAGCTCAATTGCAAGTCTCATAGCAAAGGGTCTGAATACTTATGTAAATTAGGTATATCTGTTTTTTATTTTAAATATATTTGCAGAATTTCGAAAACCTGTTTTCACTTTGTCATTATGGGTTATTGTGTGTAGATTGATGAGGAACATTTTTATTTAATGAATTTTAGAATAAGGCTGTAACGTAACAAAATGTGGAAAAAGGGAAGGGGTCTGAATACTTTCCGAATGCACTGTAAATCCACTAATAATTACATTGTTAGTCTGTGTTTCTTACATCTGCAAGCAGCTAGTTTGTCTTTTCTTAGCAAGTTGGGCCTAAATCTTGTTAGCCGCTTGATGAAAATGCTTCAAATTGCTTTTGGTTGAATTGAACAGTATAAAACAATCAGAATGGAGAAAGACCTTGACCTTGACATCACTCAGAATGTAAGTGTTGCCACACTAGGGGTCACGCAGTACTCATAAAGCACATTTTGAACTTTTATTATTCAAAAACACAAAATACCATCATATCATGATATTATATTTTGGCCCTATCGCCCAGCCCTACCTGTCTACACACCTGCCTACCTGTCTACCTAGCTGTCTACCTGCCTACCTGTCTACACACCTGCCTACCTGTCTACACACCTGCCTAGCTATCTACCTGTCTACCTGTCTACCTGCCTACCTGTCTACCCACCTGCCTAGCTGTCTACCTGCCTACCTGTCTACACACTTGCCTAGCTATCTACCTGTCTACCTGCCTACCTGTCTACACACCTGCCTAGCTGTCTACCTGTCTACCCACCTGCCTACCTGTTTACCCACCTGCCTACCTGTCTACACACCTGCCTACCTGTCTACACACCTGCCTAGCTATCTACCTGCCTACCTGCCTACCTGTCTACACACCTGCCTACCTGTCTACACACCTGTCTACCTGCCTACCTGTCTACACACCTGTCTACCTGCCTACCTGTCTACACACCTGTCTACCTGTCTACACACCTGCCTAGCTGTCTACACACCTGCCTACCTGCCTACCTGTCTACACACCTGCCTACCTGTCTACACACCTGTCTACCTGCCTACCTGTCTACACACCTGTCTACCTGCCTACCTGTCTACACACCTGTCTACCTGTCTACACACCTGCCTACCTGTCTACACACCTGTCTACCTGTCTACCTGCCTACCTGTCTACACACCTGCCTAGCTGTCTACCTGCCTACCTGTCTACACACCTGCCTACCTGTCTACACACCTGCCTACCTGTCTACATACCTGTCTACCTGCCTACCTGTCTACACACCTGTCTACCTGTCTACACACCTGCCTAGCTGTCTACCTGTCTACCTGCCTACCTGTCTACACACCTGTCTACCTGTCTACACACCTGTCTACCTGTCTACACACCTGCCTAGCTGTCTACCTGTCTACCCACCTGCCTACCTGTTTACCCACCTGCCTAGCTGTCTACCTGTCTACCTGCCTACCTGTCTACACACCTGTCTACCTGTCTACACACCTGTCTACCTGTCTACCTGTCTACACTCCTGTCTACCTGCCTACCTGTCTACCTGTCTACCTGTCTACACACCTGTCTACCTGCCTACCTGTCTACACACCTGCCTAGCTGTCTACCTGTCTACCTGCCTACCTGTCTACACACCTGTCTACCTGTCTACACACCTGTCTACCTGTCTACACACCTGTCTACCTGCCTACCTGTCTACCTGTCTACACACCTGTCTACCTGCCTACCTGTCTACACACCTGCCTAGCTGTCTACCTGTCTACCTGCCTAGCTGTCTACACACCTGTCTACCTGCCTACCTGTCTACACACCTGCCTACCTGCCTACCTGTCTACACACCTGTCTACCTGTCTACACACCTGCCTACCTGTCTACACACCTGTCTACCTGTCTACACACCTGTCTACCTGTCTACACACCTGCCTACCTGCCTACCTGTCTACACACCTGTCTACCTGTCTACACACCTGTCTACCTGTCTACACACCTGTCTACCTGTCTACACACCTGCCTACCTGCCTACCTGTCTACACACCTGTCTACCTGTCTACACACCTGTCTACACACCTGCCTACCTGTCTACACACCTGTCTACCTGTCTACACACCTGTCTACCTGTCTACACACCTGCCTACCTGCCTACCTGTCTACACACCTGTCTACCTGTCTACACACCTGCCTACCTGTCTACACACCTGCCTACCTGCCTACCTGTCTACACACCTGTCTACCTGTCTACACACCTGTCTACCTGTCTACACACCTGCCTACCTGTCTACACACCTGTCTACCTGTCTACACACCTGCCTACCTGTCTACACACCTGTCTACCTGTCTACACACCTGCCTACCTGTCTACACACCTGCCTACCTGTCTACACACCTGTCTACCTGTCTACACACCTGTCTACCTGCCTACCTGTCTACACACCTGCCTAGCTGTCTACCTGTCTACCTGCCTAGCTGTCTACACACCTGTCTACCTGCCTACCTGTCTACACACCTGCCTACCTGCCTACCTGTCTACACACCTGCCTACATGTCTACACACCTGCCTAGCTGTCTACCTGCATACCTGTCTACACACCTGTCTACCTGCCTACCTGTCTACACACCTGCCTACCTGTCTACATGTGTGCAGGACAGGTTCTAAATGCCTCCTTGTCAATTGACAGACCATAGTAAACACAATTCCTCTCATTTATTCAATACTGGCATGACCTATGATGTCCAGGGTCAATGTATGTAACTACTATGTTATTGTAACATTATCATCTCCACTGCCCCTGAGGCTGAGGGATAGTATCTGCTGATAGTCATGATCTCTAGTCCTATGCCCGCTCTCCTCTCCTCTCCTATCCACTGGCTCCCTCTCCTCTCCTCTCCTCTCCTCTCCTCTCCTCTCCTCTCCTCTCCTCTCCTCTCCTCTCCTCTCCTCTCCTCTCCTCTCCTATCCACTGCTCTCCTCTCCTCTCCTCTCCTATCCACTGCTCTCCTCTCCTCTCCTAATCCAACTGTCTCTCCTCCTCCTCCTCTCCTCTCCTCTCCTCTCCTCTCCTCTCCTATCCACTGCTCTCCTCTCCTCTCCTATCCACTGCTCTCCTCTCCTCTCCTATCCACTGCTCTCCTCTCCTCTCCTATCCACTGCTCTCCTCTCCTCTCCTATCCCTGCTCTCCTCTCCTCTCCTCTCCATCTCCTCTCCCTCTCCGCTCCTCCTCTCCTCTCCTCTCCTCTCCTCCTCCCTCTCCTCTCCTCTCCTCTCCTCTCCTCTCCTCTCCTCTCCTCTCCTCTCCTATCCACTGCTCTCCACTCCTCTCCTATCCATTGCTCTCCACTCCACTCCCTTCCTCTCCGGTAATAATCTCTGTTATTCAAGAAGCTATCTGCTCCAGTCTAGAGGCTTGTTTCCCAGACAGATTAATCCTGGACTAAACAGTATACTCAGTGGTGGTTCTCCATGTAAAGTGCTGTTTAGTTCAGCACAAGGTTTACAGTAATCTGTGTGTTAGGGAAACTAGCCTCTAGTGTCTTACCGAGGTGGTGTTTCAGGGACACTGTGACAATATTTATGATAAACTGGATGTTTGGAATCCTTGAGCGACTTGGTACAGGTAGTTTACAACTGTGTTTAGGTTACCAAACTGAAACAGGTGTGATGTGAGGGGGTGTGGTCCTGGGTGTAGAATGTACCTGCTGACAGATCATTTGTGGTTGGCCTGGATCCTCACCTGATCATTCTGTGGTTGGCCTGGATCCTCACCAGATCATTCTATGGTTGGCCTGGATCCTCACCAGATCATTCTGTGGTTGGCCTGGATCCTCACCTGATCATTATGTGGTTGGCCTGGATCCTCACCAGATCATTCTATGGTTGGCCTGGATCCTCACCAGATCATTCTGTGGTTGGCCTGGATCCTCACCTGATCATTATGTGGTTGGCCTGGATCCTCACCTGATCATTCTGTGGTTGGCCTGGATCCTCACCTGATCATTCTGTGATTGGCCTGGATCCTCACCAGATCATTCTGTGGTTGGCCTGGATCCTCACCAGATCATTCTGTGGTTGGCCTGGATCCTCACCTGATCATTATGTGGTTGGCCTGGATCCTCACCTGATCATTCTGTGGTTGGCCTGGATCCTCACCTGATCATTCTGTGATTGGCCTGGATCCTCACCAGAAAATCAATTCCATCTCACTCTTTGGTTAGATGTGGTTAGGAGGTGTGTATAAAGTGTGTTGTGTTCTAACTCTCCTCTGTCTGTGTGTTTTCTCTAGTCTCCTGAAGGGGCCAATGCCAAGGATGCCTCCAAGGTCACTAAGCAGGAGGTCACTAAGCATGTGGTCACTAAGCAGGAGGTAGGAGCTCAGTGTCGTGTGCTGTGTGTGCAGTGAGTGTTTTAAACAACCGCAAACACGCTTCTTCTGGACCACAGTCACCACACACAGTCCAACAGCAAACACGCTTCTTCTGGACCACAGTCACCACACACAGTCCAACAGCAAACACGCTTCTTCTGGACCACAGTCACCACACACAGTCCAACAGCAAACACGCTTCTTCTGGACCACAGTCACCACACACAGTCCAACCGCAAACACGCTTCTTCTGGACCACAGTCACCACACACAGTCCAACAGCAAACACGCTTCTTCTGGACCACAGTCACCACACACAGTCCAACAGCAAACACGCTTCTTCTGGACCACAGTCACCACACACAGTCCAACAGCAAACACTAATACACACTGATTCATGAAGAAGTATCTTTATACAAACACACTGATACATGAAGAAGTATCTTTATACAAACATACTCTATCCAATCCCACACACACTACCAGCCCCTCAACACATAACTGATATACCCCGGTCCCTTCCCATAATCACATCAGCACTGTATAGCTCGTTAGACTGTTAAATTATGTAAATAGTAAACGTAGCTATATACGAATTACTATTCTACAATGTCCTTTTCTATTCTGTACATCGTTTACCGGCAATATCTAAAATGGAATCGGTAAATATATCTATCTACCTCTCTCATCTCTCTTCTACATATAGTCTCTTCATCTCTTTCTCTCTCTATATTTATCTATATATACTTGTACCTTTACCTATACACTATATATCTCACGCTGTCTCTCTCTCTTTATCACTCCCCTATTCTCTCTACCTGTCCCTTTCTCTATCTCTTCTCTCTATCTCTATCTCTCTCTTCTCTCTATCTCTCTTCTCTCCGTTATATCTCCCTGTCTCTCTCTTTCTCTCTCCCTGTCTCTCTCTTTCTCTCTCCCTGTCTCTCTCTCCCTATCCCTGTCCCTGTCTCTCTCTCTCTCTCTGTCCCTGTCCCTGTCTCTCTCTCTCTGTCTCTCTCCCTGTCTCTCTCTCTCTCTCTCTCTCTCTCTCTCTCTCTCACCCTGTCCCTGTCTCTCTCTCTTTCTCTCTCCCTGTCTCTCTCTCTCTCTCTCTCTCTCCCTGTCTCTCTCTCTCCTTCTGTAGCCCACCAGGCGGTCAGAGAGGTTGTCATCGGTAAGTATAATAATTCCCTCTTCCTCCATCCCTCTCTCTCTCTCTCTCTCTCTCTCCCTCCCTCCTCTCCTCTCCCTGCTGTCTCTCAGGTTGTTGCTAAACTCTAGGGTCAGGCGTAATCTGTGGGGGTCACAGTTTCTCACAGCCACCAGAAGTGATGTCAAGAGATCTAAAATCTAAACAATCTGTTGGATTCATTCTGATCTAACCTTTTATAGATATATACACTTACCATGACTAGCTAGTGTTTTATTCAGTAGATATTCAGTCAATGTTCTATTCAGACAGCAGTGTTTTAATGGAGCTTTCTAGTGGAGTGTTCTAAAGGAGTGTTCTAAAGGAGCGTTCTAAAGGAGCGTTCTAAAGGAGCGTTCTAAAGGAGCGTTCTAAAGGAGCGTTCTAATGGAGCGTTCTAAATTAGCGTTCTAAAGGAGCATTCTAAATGACAATTTTATTCCGACTGTGAAAGTTGTAAACAGCAAGCCGACAGCACTCTAAACAGTGTTCTAAAGATGGTGGTGGTGAGAAAAGGTCCCTGTAGGTTCCGTCTGGTCCTGCGCTTGTGTTTGTTTCATTTGCCCTCCTTTACCAGACTTTACTGTTCTGTTTATCCACTGTATGTCATGTGATATCACTGTCAAATATTATTCCATGGATAATGTAGTCATAATGTTTATACATGATCTTAGTACATTATTACTGTACCTTACTACTGATGTTATTAGATAGATTATAATCCAACAGGTTCTCCTAGTTTATGTACATCTGTTTTTAGTCATGTTCATAAACAGGCTACATGATAGCCTGTCCTGTTTACTAATATTAAATCAACTGTTTAGTTAGTATTGATTTGAAGCTGTACGGAGACCTTCATCTGAGGTGTTGCCCTCTCCTAGTGGGTATACATGGCCAAGCGTCGTGTGTTTGCCCTCTACTAGTGGGTATTGGCAAGCTGACGTGGTTGTTGCCCTCTTCCTAGTGGGTATTGGGCCCCCAAGCTGTACGTGGGTGTTGCCATCTCCGAGTGGGTATTGGCCAAGCTGTACGTGGTGTTGCCCTATCATAGTGTATTGACAAGATGTGTACGTGGTTGGTTGTTGCCCTTCCTAGTGGGTTATTCAATGGCCAGCTTGTAAGTGCGTGGTGTTGCCCTATCCTAGTGGGTTATGGCTAAGCTGTACGTGGTGTTTGCCCTCTCCTAGTGGGTATTGCAGGGCCAAGCTGTACGTGGTGTTGCCCTCTCCAGTGGGGGTAATTGGCCAGTGTCCGTAGTTTGCCCCTTTCATAGTGGGTATTCCATGGCCACGCGTACGTGGTGTTGCCTCTCCTAGTGGGTATTCCAGGGCCAAGCTGTCGTGGGTTGCCCTCTCCTAGTGGGTATTGAGCCAAAGCTGTCGTAGTGTGGCCTCTCCTAGTGGGATTGCATTGGCTAAGCGTAAGTGTGTGCCCTCTCCTAGTGGGTATTGGCCAAGCTGTTGTACGTAGTGTTGCCCTCTCCTAGTGGGGATTTGCATGGAGAAGTCAGCTATGGGAACGCGGTTTATTTTCACGCGGGGAGCATGCGGTCCGCGTCCTACCCCTTTTTTCCCCCCGTTAATACCGTAGCCCCTTTTCTCCCTTGTTGCTCGCTCTCGATTTTATTCTCCTCTCCTCTACTCTCTTGATTGACGTCCCCCCAAGGTGTTGCCCTCTCATAGTGGGTATGGCTAAGATTGTACGTGGTTTGCCCTATTCCTAGTGGGGTAATGGCCAAGCTGTACGTGGTGTTGCCCTCTACTAGTGGGTATTGCATGCCAAGCTTGTACGTGGTGTTGCCCTCTCCTAGGGGGTATGGCCAAGATGTACGTGGTGTTCCCTCGCATAGTGGGTATTGGCCTAAGCTTGTAGTAGGGGGGGAGAAGAGGGGGGTAGGGGAAAAAGCAATGGGGGAACATGGGTTCTTGTTGCCCTCTATAGTGGTATTGGCCAGCTGTAAGTAGTTGTATGCCCTTCTCCTAGTGGGTATGGCCAAGCTGTTACGTGGTTCCGTTTGCCCTCTATAGTGGGGTATGGCAAGCTGTACGTAGTGTGCCCTCTCTAGGGGATTGGCTTAGCGTACGTGGTGTTGCCCTCTCCTAGTGGGTATTGGCCACAAGCTGACGTGGTTGTTGCCTCTCCTAGTGGGTATTGGCCAAGCTGTACGTAGTGTTGCCCTCTCCTAGTGGGTATTGGCCAAGCTGTACGTGGTGTTGCCCTCTCCTAGTGGGTATTGGCCAAGCTGTACGTAGTGTTGCCCTCTCCTAGTGGGTATTACATGGCCAAGCTGTACGTAGTGTTGCCCTCTCCTAGTGGGTATTGGCCAAGCTGTACGTAGTGTGTTGCCATCTCCTAGTGGGTATGGCCAACCTGTACGTGGATGTGCCCTCTCCTAGTGGGTATTACATGGCTCTAAGGCTGTACGTGGTGTTGCCCTCTCCTAGTGGCGGTTATGGCCAAGTGTACGTGGTGTTGCCCTTCCTAGTGGGTATGGCTAAGCTGTACGGGTGTTTGCCCTCTCATAGTGGGTATTGGCCAAGCTGTTATGTGGTGTTGCCCTCGCCTAGTGGGGATTGGCTAAGCTGTACGTAGTGTGCATCTCCTAGTGGGGTATGGCCAAGTGTAGTGGGTTTGCCCTCTCCTAGTGGGTATTGCATGGACCAAGCTGTAACGTGGTGTGTTGCCCTCTCCTAGTGGGTATTGGCCAAGCTAACGTGGGTTGCCTCTCCTAGGGGGTATTGCATGGCTAAGCTGTACTGGTGTTGCACCTCCTAGTGGGTATTGGCCAGCTGTACTCGGTGTTGCCCTCTCCAGTGGGTTATTGCATGCCAAGTGTACGTGGTGTTGGCCCTCTATCCTTAGGGGTAGGTATTGGCCAAGCTGTACGTGGTGTTGCCCCTCCTAGTGGGGTATTGGCCAGCTGTGTACGTGGTGTTGCCCTCTCCTAGTGGGTATTGGCCAAGCTGTACGTGGTGTTGCCCTCTCCTAGTGGGTATTGGCCAGCTGTGTACGTGGTGTTGCCCTCTCCTAGTGGGGTATTGGACCAAGCGGTACGTAGGTTGGCCTCTCCTAGGGGGTATTCATGGCCAAGCTGTACGTGGTTGTGCCATCTCCTAATGGAAGATATTGGCTAAGATGTACGTAGTGTTTGGTGCCCTCTCCTAGTGGGTATTGGCCAAAGCTGTTTACGTGGTGTTGCCCTCTCCTAGTGGTATTCAATGCCAAAGCTGTACGTGGGTTGTGTTGCCCCTCTCATAGTGGGTACGGGCAGAAGGATGGGAAGGATGGGGGAAAGAGAAGAGGGGGCCCACCCACTCGCTCCTATTGCATGGCTAAGATGTACGTGGTTGTTGCCCTCTCCTAGGGGGTATTGGCTCTAAGCTTGTACGTAGGGTTGCCCCTCCTAGTGGTATTACATGGCCAAGCGTACGTGGTGTGCACTCTTCCTAGTGGGTGTATTGCATGGCAAGCTGTAGTGGTGTTGCCCTCTCCTAGTGGGTATTGGCCAAGATGTTACGGGTGTGTTGCCCTCTCCTAGTGGGTAGGCCAAGCTTACGTGGTGTTGCCCTCTCATAGTTTGGGTTTGGCCAAGCTTGTACGTGGTGTTGCCCTCTCCTAGTGGGTATTGGCAAAGCTTGACGTTAGTTGTTGCCCTTCCTAGGGGTATTGGCCAAGCCGTACGTAGTTAGTGTTGGCCTCCCGGGGTATTCATGGCCAAGCTGTTACGTGGTGTTGAGCCCTCTCTACTGGGGTATTGGCAAAGCTGACGGGTGTTGCCCTCTCCTAGTGGGTATTACATGGCCAAGCTGTACGTAGTGTTGCCCTCTCCTAGTGGGTATTGGCTAAGCTGTACGTAGTGTTGCCCTCTCCTAGTGGGTATGCTAAGCTTGCTACGTAGTGGTTGCCCTCTCTAGTGGGTATTGGCTAGCTGTATGTGGTGGCCCTCTCCTAGTGGGTATTGGCCAAGCTTACGTAGTGTTGCCCTCTCCTAGTGGTATTGGACAAGCTGTACGTGGTGTTGCCTATCCTAGTGGGTATTGCCAAGCGTACGTGGTGTTTGCCCTCCTCCTAGTGGGTATTCCATGGCCAACCCTGTAACGTGGTGTTGCCCTCTCCTAGTGGGTATTGGCTAAGCTGTACGTGGTGTTGCCCTCTCCTAGTGGGTATTGCATGGCCAAGCTGTACGTGGTGTTGCCTCTCCTAGTGGGGTATTGGCAGCTGTACGTTAGTGTTGCTTCTCCTAGTGGTATTGCATGGCAAGCTGTTACGTGTGGTGTTGCCCTCTTCCTCCAGTGGGTATTGGCATAAGCTGTACGTGGGTTGGCCCTCTCCTAGTGGGTATTGGCCAGCTGTACGTGGTGTTGCCCTCTCCTAATGGGTATTGGCTAAGCTGTACGTAGTGTTGCCCTCTCCTAGTGGGTATTGGCCAAGCTGTACGTGGTGTTGCCCTCTCCTAGTGGGTATTCCATGGCCAAGCTGTACGTGGTGTTGCCCTCTCCTAGTGGGTATGGCTAGCTGTACGTAGTGTTGCCCTCTCCTAGTGGGTATTGCATGGCTAAGCTGTACGTGGTGTTGCCCTCTCCTAGTGGGTATTGGCCAAGCTGTACGTGGTGTTGCCCTCTCCTAGTGGGTATTGCATGGCCAAGCTGTACGTAGTGTTGCCCTCTCCTAGTGGGTATTGGCTAAGCTGTAAGTAGTGTTAAGTGTTGCCCTATTCCTAGTGGGTATTGCATGGCCAAAGGGGGGGCTGTACTTGGGGGTTGCACTCTCTAGTGGGTATTGGCCAAGTGTAAGTGGTGTTGCCCTCTCCTGTGGGTTATTGGTAAGCTGTACGTAGTGTTGGCCCTCTCCTTAGGCGGTTATTGGGCAAGCTGTACTGGTGTTGCCCTCTCCTAGTGGGATGCATGGCCAAGCTGTACGTGGTGTTGCCCTCTCATAGGGGGATGTGGCCAAAGCTGTACGTGGTGTTGCCCTCTCCTAGTGGGTATTGGCCAAGCTGTACGTAGTGTTGCCCTCTCAGGGTATTGGCCAAGCGGTAGTGGTTGTTGCCCGCTTCCTAGTGGGTATTGGCCAAAGCTGTACGTAGTGTTGCCCTCTCTAGTGGGTATTCATGCCAAAGCTGTACGTGGTTGTTTGTTGCCCTTCTCCTGTGGGTATTGGCCAAGAGCTGGACGTGGTTGTGCCCTCTCCTAGTGGGTATTGGCCAAGCTGTACGTGGTGTTGCCCTCTCCCTAGTGGGTATTGGCCAAGCTGTGTACGTGGTGTGCCTCTCCTAGTGGGATGGCAGCTGTACGTGGTGTTGCCCTCTCCTAGTGGGTATTGGCTAAGCTGTACGTAGTGTTGCCCTCTCCTAGTGGGTATTACATGGCCAAGCTGTACGTGGTGTTGCCCTCTCCTAGTGGGGAGTGCATGGCCAAGCTTGGACGTGGTGTTGCCCTCCTCTCTAGTGGGTATTGGCCAAGCGTACGTTGGTGTTGCCCTCTCCTAGTGGGTATTGGCCAAGCTGTACGTGGTGTTGCCCTCTCCTAGTGGGTATTGGCCAAGCTGTACGTTTTGGTGTTGCCCTCTCATAGTGGGTATTGGAAAAGCTGTACAGTTAGTGTTGCCCTCTCCTAGTGGGTATTAGGCCAAGCTGTACGTAGTGGTGCCATCTCCTAGTGGGTATTATGGCAAATGCTGATACGTGGTGGTTGCCCTCCCTACTGGGTATTGGCCAAGCTGCTACGAGGTGTTGCCCTCTCCTAGTGGGTATTAAAGGCCAAGGCTGTAGTAGGTGCCCTCTCCTAGTGGGTATTGGCTAGCTGTACGTCAGTGTTGCCCTCTCCTAGTGGGTATGGGCTAACTAAGCTGTACCGTAGTGTTGAAGAGAGGAGTGCGGGGGGGGAGGGGAGGAGAGGCCTATGTGGTGTTGCCCTCTCATAGTGGGTATTGGCCAAGCTGTTACGTAGTGGTTGCCCTCTCTAAGTGGGTATTGGCAAGCTGTAGTGGTGATTGTGTTGCGCTATCCTAGTGGGGTATGGCCAAGATGTACGTGGTGTTGCCCTCTCCTAGTGGGTATTCCATGGCCAACCTGTACGTGGTGTTGCCCTCTCCTAGTGGGTATTGGCTAAGCTGTACGTGGTGTTGCCCTCTCCTAGTGGGTATTGCATGGCCAAGCTGTACGTGGTGTTTGTTGCCATCTCCTAGTGGGTTGTGGATTGGCCAGCTGTAAGTAGTGTTGCCCTCTCCTAGGGGATTGCATGGCTAAGATGTACGTGGTGTTGTTGCCCTCTCCCTAGTGGGTATGGTATTGGCCAAGCTGTACGTGGGGTGCCTTGCCCTCTCCTAGTGGGTATGGCCAAGCTGTAGTAGTGTGCCCTCCTAGTGGGTATTGGCCAAGCTCTGTACGTAGTTGTTGCCCTCTCCTAGTGGGTATTGGCCAAGCTGTACGTAGTGTTTGCCTATCCTAGTGGGTATTGCATGGTGGTTAAAGCTGTTGTACGTGGGTTGCCCTCTCCTAGTGGGTATTGGCCAAGCTGTACGTGGTGTCGGTGTTCGCCCTTCCTAGTGGGGATTGGCTAAGCTGTACGTAGTGTGCCCCTCTCCTAGTGGCGGGTATTTGCTGGCCAAAGGCTGTACGTGGTGTGTGCCCTCTCCTATGGGTATTTGGCCAACTGTACTGGTGTTGCCCTCTCCTAGTGGGTGGTATGGCCTAAGCTGTACGTAGTGTTGCCCTCTCCTAGTGGGTATTGGCCAAGCTGTGTACGTGGTGTTGCCCTTCTCCTAGTGGGTTATTGCAGGGCCAAGCGTAAGTGGTAATGTTGCCCTCTCCTAGTGGGTATTGGCCAAAGCGTACGTGGTGTGCCCTCTCTAGGGGGTATTGCCAAAGATGTACGTGGTGTTGCCCTCTACTAGTGGGTATTGGCAAAGCTGTACGTGGTGTTGACCCTCTCATAGTGGGTATTGGCCAAGCTGTACGTAGTGTTTGCCCTTCTCCTAGGGGGTATCATGGCCAAGCTGTACGTGGGTTGACCCTTCTCCTAGTGGGTATTGGCCAAGCTGTACGTGGTGTGCCCTCTCCTAGTGGGTGGTATTGGCCAAGCTGTACGTGGGTGTTTTTGTTTTAGTTGCCCTCTCCTAGTGGGTATGGGCCAAGATGTACGTGGTGTTGCCCTCTCATAGTGGGTATATGGCCAAAGCTGTACGTGGTTTGGTGTTGCCCTCTCCTAGTGGGTATGGGCCTAAGCTGTAGTAGTGTTGCCCTCTCCTAGTGGGTATTACATGGCAAGCTGTACGTGGATGTTGCCTCTCTAGTGGTGTATTGCATGGCCAAGCTGTAGTGGTGTTGCCCTCTCCTAGAGGGTATTGGCCAAGCGTACGTGGTTGTTGCCCCTCCTAGTGGGGTATTGGCCAGAGCTGTACGTGGTTGTTGCCCTCTCCTAGTGGTATGGCCAAGCTGTACGTCAACCACGGTGTGTTGCCCTCTACTAGTGGGTATTGGCCAAGCTGAAGTAGTGTGCCTCTCCCTAGGTGGGTATTGCCAAGATGTACGTAGTGTTGCACTCTCCTAAGTGCGGTATCAGGACAAGAGATGTACGACCCCCCCCCCCCCCTCCCCCCCCCCTCCCCCCCTGGTGTTTTGCCCTTCCTAGGGGTATTGGCCAAGCTGTACGAGGTGTTGCCCATTCTAGTGGGATTCCATGGCCAAGCTGTACGTAGTGTTGCCCTCTCCTAGTGGGTATTGGCTAAGCTGTACGTAGTGTTGCCCTCTCCTAGTGGGTATTGGCTAAGCTGTACGTAGTGTTGCCCTCTCCTAGTGGGTATTGGCTAAGATGTATGTGGTTGTTGCCCTTCTTCCCCTAGTGGGTATTGGCCCAAGCTTGTACGTTAGTGTTGCCCTCATCCTAGTGGGGGGTATTGCTACGCTGTACGTGGTGTTGCCCGCTCCTAGTGGGTTATTGTCCAAGCTGTACTGTGTTGCCCTCTCCTAGTGGGTATTGGCTAAGCTTACGTGGTGTTGCCATCTCCTAGGGGTATTTACATGGCCAAGCTGTAAGTGGTGTTGCCCTCTCTAGTGGGTATTGAATGGCCCAAGCTGTACTTGTGTTGCCCTTCTCATAGTGGGTTATTCCATGGCCAAGCTGTACGTGGTGTTGCCCTCTCCTGGGGGTATTGTCAAAGCTGTACGTGTGGTGTTTGCCCTCGCTAGTGGGGTATTGTCAAGCTGTACGTTGGTTGTTGCCCTCTCATGTGGGTATTGCATGGCTAAGATGTAACGCTGGTGTTGCCCTCTCCTAGTGGGGTATGCCAAGCTGTACGTGGTGTGCCATCTCCTAGTGGTATTGGCCAAAGCTGTGTTGACGTAGGTTGCCCTCTCCTAGTGGGTATTGGCCAAGTGTACGTGGTGTGTGCCCTATCCTAGTGGGTATGGCTAAGCTGTACGTGGTTGTTGCCCCTCTAGTGGGTTATTGGCAAGCTTTACGTGGCTGTGCCCTCTCATAGTGGGTATTGGCCAAGCTGTTACGTGGTGTTGCCTCTCCTAGTGGGTATTGGCCAAGGTGTCGTTAGTGTTGCCCTCTCCTAGTGGGTATTGCATGGCCAAGCTGTACGTAGTGTTGCCCTCTCCTAGTGGGTATTGGCCCAAGTGTACGTGGGTTGCCCTCTCCTAGTGGGTATTGGCTAAGCGTATGTGGTGTGCAATCTCCTAGTGGGTTATTCCATGGGCCAAGCTGTACGTAGTGTTGCCCTCTCCTAGTGGGTATTACATGGCCAAGCTGTACGTGGTGTTGCCCTCTCCTAGTGGGTATTGCATGGCTAAGCTGTACGTGGTGTTGCCCTCTCCTAGTGGGTATTGGCCAAGCTGTACGTAGTGTTGCCCTCTCCTAGTGGGTATTCCATGGCCAAGCTGTACGTAGTGTTGCCCTCTCCTAGTGGGTATTGGCTAAGCTGTACGTGGTGTTGCCTCTCCTTTAGTGGGTATTGGCAAGCTGTACGTGGTTGTTGCCCTCTCTAGTGGGTATTGGCTAAGCTGAGTGGTGTTGCCCTCGCCTAGGGGTTATTCCATGGCCACGTTGTTACGAGGTTGCCTATCCTATGGGATACGAGGCCAAAGCTGTACGTGGTGTTGCCCTCTCCTAGTGGGGTATTGCATGGTAAGCTGTACGTGGTAGTTGCCCTCTCCTAGATGGGGTATTGGCCAAGCTGTACGTAGTGTTGCCCTCTCCTAGTGGGTATTCCATGGCCAAGCTGCACGTAGTGTTGCCCTCTCCTAGTGGGTATTGGCTAAGCTGTACGTGGTGTTGCCCTCTCCTAGTGGGTATTGGCCAAGCTGTACGTGGTGTTGCCCTCTCCCGAGTGGGTATTGTCATGGCGAAGCTGATTACGTAGTGTGCCGACTCTCATAGGGGATTGGCCAAGCTGTACGTAGTGTTGCCCTCTCCTAGTGGGTATTGGCTAAGCTGTACGTAGTGTTGCCCTCTCCTAGTGGGTAGTATTGGCCAAGCTGTACGTGGTGTTGCCCTCTCCTAGTGGGTATTGCATGGCCAAGCTGTACGTGGTGTTGCCCTCTCCTAGGGGTATTGCCAAGCTGTACTAGTTGCCCTCTCTTAGTGGGTTATTGGCCAAGCTTGTACGTGGTGTTGCCCTTTCCTGTGGGTTATGGCCAAGCTGTAGTGGTGTTGCCCTCTCCTATGGTATTGGCCCAAGCTGTACGTAGGTTGCCTCTCTAGTGGGGTATCATGGCCAAGGCTGTACGTAGTGGCCTCTGCTAGTGGGTCATTGGCCAAGCTTTACGTGGGGTGTTGCCTTCCTAGTGGGTAAATGCCAAGCGTAACGTAGTGTTGCCATCTCCTAGGGGTATTGGCCAAGCTGTACGTGGTGTTGCCCTTCCTAGTGGGTATGCATGGCCAAGCTGGACGTGGTGTTTGCCCTCTCCTAGTGGTTATGGCCAAGCGTACGAGTGTTGCTCTCTCCTAGTGGGTATTGGCAAGTGATGTGGTGTTGCCCTCTCATAGTGGTCTTGGCCAAGCAGCTGTTACGTGGGTTGCCCTCCTAGTGGGTATTGGCCAAGCTGTACGTAGTGTTGCCCTCTCCTAGTGGTATTGCCAGCGAATACGTGGTGTTGCCCTCTCTAGTGGGTATTGGCCAAGCTGTACGTGGGGTGTTGTTGCCCCTCTCCGAGTGGGTATTGGCCAAGCTGTACGTAGTTGTTGCCCTTCTCCTAGTGGGTATTGGCCAAGCTGTACGTGGTGTTGCCGCTCCTAGTGGGATTGCAAGCTGTGTTGTACGTGGGGTTGCCCTCTCCTTAGTGGGTATTGGCTAAGCTGTACGTGGTGTGCCCTTCTTCTAGTGGTTGTTGGCCAAGCTTGTACGTGGTGTTGCCCTCCCTAGTGGGTATTGGCCAAGCTTACGTGGTGTTGCCATCTCCTAGGGGTATTGGCAAGCTGTACGTGGTTTTGTGCCCTACTCCTAGGGGGTACTTGGCCAAGCTGTACGTTAGTGTTGCCTCCCTAGTGGGTATTGCAAAGCTGTACGTAGTGTTGCCCTCTCTAGTGGGTTTGGCAAGCTTACGTGGTGTTGCCCTCTCCTAGTGGGTATTGGCCAAGCTGCGTGGGTGTTGCCCTCTCTAGTGGGTTATTGGCCAAGCTGTTAAGTGGTGTTGCCCTCTCCAGTGGGTATGGCCAAGCTGTACGTAGATGTTGCCCCTCTCCTAGGGAGTATTGGCCAAGCTGTACGTGGTGTTGCCCTCTCCTAGTGGGTATTGCATGGCCAAGCTGTACGTGGTGTTGCCCTCTCCTAGTGGGTATTGGCCAAGCTGTACGTGGTGTTGCCCTCTCCTAGTGGGTATTGCATGGCCAAAGGCGGTAAGTGGGGTTGCCCGCTACTAGTGGGTTTGCATTGCTAAAGCTGTACGTGGTGTTGTCTCTCCTCGTGGGTATTGGCCTAAAAGCTGTACGTTAGTGTTGCCCTCTCCTAGTGGGGTATTGGCCAAGCTGTACGTGGTGTTGCCTTCTAAGTGGGTATTGGCCAAGCTGATACGTTGGTGGTTGCCCTTTCTCTAGTGGGTATGGCCAAGCTGTAACGTAGTGTTGCCCTCTCCTAGTGGTTATTGGACAAGCTGTAAGTGGTGTTGCCCTCTCCTATGGGTATTGCCAAGCTTACGTGGTGTGCCTCTCCTAGTGGTATTGGCAAAGCTGTACGTGGGTTGTGCCATTCTCTAGGGGGATTACATGGTCAAGCTGTCGTGGTTGTTGCCCTCTCCTATTGGGTATTGGCCAAGCTGTACGTGGTGTTGCCCCTCTCCTAGGGGTATTGGCCAAGCGGACGTGGTGTTGCCCTCTCCTAGTGGGTATTCCATGCCAAGCTTACGTGGTGTTGTTTGCCCTCTCCTAAGTGGGTATTGGCTAAGCTTGTACGGGTGTTGCCCCTCTTCCTAGTGGGTATGGGCCAAGCTTGTACGTGGTGTGGCCCTTCCTAGTGGGTATTGGCTAAGCTGTACGTAGTGTTGCCCTCTCCTAGTGGGTATTGGCCAAGCTGTACGTGGTGTTGCCCTCTCCTAGTGGGTATTGGCCAAGCTGTACGTGGTGTTGCCCTCTCCTAGTGGGTATTGGCCAAGCTGTACGTGGTGTTGCCCTCTCCTAGTGGGTATTGGCCAAGCTGTACGTAGTGTTGCCCTCTCCTAGTGGGTATTGCAAAGCTGTACGTGGTGTTTGTTGCCCTCTCCTAGTGGGTATTGGCCAAGCTGTACGTGGTTTGCCACTATCCTAGTGGGGTATTGGCCAAGCTGTACGTGGTGTTGCCCTCTCCTAGTGGGTATTGCCAAGCTGTACGTAGTGTTGCCCTCTCCTAGTGGGTATTGGCCAAGCTGTACGTGGTGTTGCCCTCTCCTGGTGGGTATTGCATGGCCAAGCTGTACGTGGTGTTGCCCTCTCCTAGTGGGTATTGGCCCAAGATGTACGTTGGTGTTTGCACTTCTTCCTAGTGGGTATTGCCAAGCTTGTACGTGGTGTTGCCCTCTCCTAAGTGGGTTCCATTGGCCCAAGATGTACGTTGGTGTTGCACCCTCTCCTAGTGGGTATTGGCTAAGATGTTACGTTAGTGTTTGCCCTCTCCTTAGTGGGTATTGGCCAAGCTGTACGTGGTGTTGCCTCTCCAGTGGGTATTGAATGGCAAGATGTACGTGGTGGTTGCCCTCTCCTGTGGGGATCCATGGCCAAGCGTACGTGGTGTTGCCCTCTCCCTATGTGGGTATTGGATAAGCTTGTACGTGGTGTTGACCTCTCCTAGGTGGGTGGTATTGGCAAGCGTACGTGGTTGTTGCCCTATCATAGTGGGTATTGGCTAAGATGTACGTCACCCCCCCCCCCCCCCCCCCCCCCCCCACCCCCCCCCCCCCCCCCCCCCCCCACCCCCACCCCCCCCCCCCCCCCCCCCCCCCCTGGTCTTGCCCTCTCCTAGTGGGTATTGGCTATAAGCTGTACGTGGCTGGTCGATTGCCCTATAGGAGGGGAGTAATGGGAAAAGATGTACGTGGTGGTGTTGCCCTCTCATAGTGGATTGGCCAAGATTGTACGTGGTGTGGCCCTCTCCTAGTGGGTATTGCAATGGCCAAGATGTACGTGGGTGTTGCCCTCTCCTAGGGGGGTATGGGCCAAAAGCTGTGTAAGTAGTGTTGCCCTCTCCTAGTGGGTATTGGCTAAGCTGTACGTGGGTTGCCCTCTCTGTGGGTATTGGCCAAGCTGTACGTAGTGTTGCCCTCTCCCTAGGGGGTATTCCATGGCCAAGCTGTAAGTCAGTGTTGCCCTTCATAGTGGGTATTGGCCAACTGTAACGTGGTGTTGCCCCTCTCCTAGTGGGTATTGGCCAAGCTGTACGTGGTGTCCCTCTTCCTAGTGGGTATTGGCCCAAGCTGTACGTGTGTTTTGTGTTGTTGCCCTCTCCTAGTGGGTATTGCCAAGCTGTACGTGGTGTTGCACTTCTAGTGGGTTTTGCATGGCTAGTGTCGTGTGTTGCCCTCTCCTAGTGGGTATGGTATGGACTAAGTGTTGTACGTGGTGTTGCCCTCTCTAGTGGGTATGGCCAAGCTGTTACGTGGTGGTGCACTCTCCTAGGGGTATTGCATTGGCCTAAGCTGTCGTGGTGTTGCCTCTCCTCAAGTGGGTATGCCAAAGCATTGTCGTGGTGTTGCTCTCTAAAGTGGGTATTGGCCAAGCTGTTACGTGGTTGTTGGCCGCTCATAGTTGGGTATTGAATGGCCAAGCTTGACGTGGTGTGGCCCTATCCTAGTGGGTATTGGCTAAGATGGTACGTGGTGTTTGCCCCCCCCTCTCCTAGTGGGTATGCCCATGGCTAAGCTGTACGTGGTGTTGCCCTAACCTAGTGGGTGTTATTGGACCAAGCTGTACGTCGGTGTTGCCCGATTCCTAGGGGGTATTGAATGGCCAAGCTTGTACGTGGATGTTGCCCTTTCCTAGTGGGTATGCATGGCCAAGCTGTACGTGGTGTTGCCCTCTCCTAGTGGGATGGGCAAAGCTTACGTAGTGTTGCCCTCTCCTAGTGGGTATGAAGGCACGCTGTACGTGGGGTTGCCAGCTCCTAGTGGGTATTGGGCTAAGCGTACGTTAGTGTTGCCCTCTCCTAGTGGGTATTACGCCCAAACGCTGTGACGTGGTGTTGCCCCCTCTCTAGTGGTGTATTGGCCAAGATGTACGTGGGGTTGCCCTCTCTAGTGGGTTTGGCCAAGCGTGCACGTCGTTGCCCTCTCCTAGTGGGGGTATTCGGCCAAGCTGTACGTGGGGGTTGCCCTCTCCTAGTGGTGCGTTATTGGCCCAAGCTTACGAGTGGTGTTGGTCCTCTCCCTAGTGGGTATTGCATGGCCAGAGCTGGTAACGTTGGTGTTGCCCTCTCCTAGTGGGTATTGGCCAAGCTGTACGAGGTGTTGCTCTCTCCTAGTGGGTATTGCATGGCCTCACCTATAGCCTACAATACACTTACTGTTCAGGTTAGACATATATTTCAATGCGAAGAAATGTCCATGGTATTTTCCCATTCTCTTTGCTAAACTAATTCTGTGGTGTTTCCCAACTCTATGCTAGAATAAGATAAGAGAATTATATGGCGTTTCCCCACGCTTTGAGTGCTAAAGCTAACGTCTCTCTCTCTCTCTGACCTGTAGAAACCAGCTCCTCCCAAACCTGTTGAGGTCAAGCCTAAGAAGGCTATCGCCAAGGTAACACACACTGTCCAGGCGTTGGAGCATGTATCCACAAATGCATGATGTGGTGGTTTTAAAGTCTCATGAATCTTTAGTCCATTTGAATGATCTCAAACCCGTTCTCAGTCCTATGTTTTTATTGGTCATCTTTGTCCTCTGTTGGGATTGGTCATCTCTGTTTCTATGTTCTGATTAGCTGGCTGTTATTGTTCTGCGTTCTGATTGGCAGGCTGTCTCTCTTCTGTGTTCTGATTGGCTGGCAGTGTATCTGTGCTGTGTTCTGATTGGCTTTGTTTGCCCAGAAGCCGGTGGATGACAAGAACATGAAGGAAAAGAAAGGCGGCGCTAAGGTGAAGGAGGATGGCCCCTCCCACAATGGACAGACCATGACGGAGGAGGTACGCTAGGCAACAAGGTGTAGGGGGATGGCGGTGGTTGGATTATAATCATCTAACATGTCTTCCTTCAATGTTCTCCCTCTGTCTCTCACACACACACACAGATCTGTGTGTCTCGCTCCAGTGTCAGTGTGACCTACTACAGAAGTCTTGCTCCCAACTCCATGTCTGTCAGAGGACAGAGTGAGACGGTCAGAGTCAACGGTACGACAGACAGGCAGCGTGCTCTGGGATCTAGACACAGTGTGATTTAACCAGAGTGTTAGGTTGTCTCCTAAATGGTACATTTTTCCCTCAGGGATTCTTGAAAGAACGGACAATCTCAGCTTTTTTTTTTCACTAATATTTTTCTTAATATTAACAAACATTTCAAATGTACAGTACCAGTCAAAAGTTTGGACGCACCTACTCATTCCAGGGTTTTTCTTTATTTTTACTATTTTCTGCATTGTAGAATAATAGTGAAGACATCTTTTTTTTTTTTTTTTTATAACTATGAAATAATACATATGGAATCACCTAGTAACCCAAAAAGTGTTAAACAAATCAAAATATATTTTAATATTTGAGATTCTTCAAATAGCCACCCTTTGCCTTGATGACAGCTTTGCACACTCTTGGCATTCTCTCAACCAGCTTCATTAGGTAGTCACCTGGAATGCACTTCAGTTAACAGGTTTGCCTTGTTAAATGTTAATTTGTGGGATTTCTTTCCTTCTTAATGCGTTTGAGCCAATCAGTTGTGTTGTGACAAGGTAGGGGTGGTATACAGAAGATAGCCCTATTTGGTAAAAGACCAAGTCCATATTATGGCAAGAACAGCTCAAATAAGCAAAGAGAAACGACAGTCCATCATTACTTTAAGACATGAACATTTCAAGAACTTTGAAAGTTTCTTCAAGTGCAGTCGCGTCCATCAAGCGCTATGATGAAACTGGCTCTCATGAGGACCGCCACAGGAATGGAAGACCCAGAGTTACCTCTGCTGCAGAGGATAAGTTCACAAGAGTTACCAGCCTCAGAAATTACAGCCCAAATAAATGCAGTGTAGGTAAACAGATGATCTCCGCTTGTGTAGATCCCACCGTAAAGCATGGAGGAGATGGTGTAATGGTGCTTTGCTGGTGACACTGTCTGTGATTTATTTAGAATTCAAGGCACACTTAACCAACATGGCTACCACAGCATTCTGCAGCGATACACCAGCCCATCTGGTTTGGGCTTAGTGGGACTATCATTTGTTTTTCATTTTACATTTATTACATTTTAGTAATTTAGCAGTTTTTCAACAGGACAACGACCCAACACACCTCCAGACTGTGTAAGGGCTATTTTACCAAGAAGGAGAGTGATGGAGTGCTGCATCAGATGACCTGGCCTCCACAATCCCCCGACCTCAACCCAATTGAGATGGTTTGGGATGAGTCGGACCGCAGAGTGAATGAAAAGCAGCCAACAGGTGCTCAGCATATGTGGGAACTCCTTCAAGACTGTTGGAAAAGCATTCCAGGTGAAGCTGGTTGAGAGAATACCAAGAGTGTGCAAAGCTGTCATCAAGGCCAAGGGTGGCTACTTTCAAGAATATAAAATATATTTTGATTTTTTTAACACTTTTTTGGTTACTACATGATTCCATATGTGTTATTTCATAGTTTTGATGTCTTCACTATTATTCTACAATGTAGAAAATAGTAAAAATAAAGAAAGAAAAACCCTTGAATGAGTAGGTGTGTCCAGTTTGGGAAGCACTGTGCTAAATGACTAAAATGTGTGTGTTTTGTAGGATATAACCAGTGTGTGTGGCTTTAACCAGTGTGTGTGTGTGTGTGTGTGTGGTGTAAACTAACTAAGTGTTTGAGCACTTTAAACCTTAACTTAACGTTAAACCTCAACTGAACTTTAAACCTTAACGTCGTTGTGTACACGAACATTGTGTGTCTTGGTGACTGCATTGATGACACGTGTGTTCACCCATCAGTATGTACAGCACAGGAGGTTGGTGCCACCGTAATTGGGGAGGACGGGCTCATAGTAATGCCTGGAGTGGAATCAGTGGAATGGTACCAAATACATCCAACACATGGTTACCGTAATTGGGGAGGACGGGCTCATAGTAATGCCTGGAGTGGAATCAGTGGAATGGTACCAAATACATCCAACACATGGTTACGAGGTGTTTGATGGCATACCATTTGTTCCGTTCCAGACGTTGTTGTGAGTCGCCTTCTCCTCGGCAGCCTCCTGTGCTGTAAAGTGTGTCTGTCTGCTTGGACTGATAGTGACACTACTAACTCCCAGCTAGCTAGCAGGACCGTGGAACCATGGATGGAAGCGTTGCTGGTCCCTTTGGGACTTCCTGTATGACATCGTGGTGCGTTTGTGTCTGTCTGCAGGAGACTGAGGCTGTGAAGGCAGGGTCTGTCGAGGAGAAGGAATGAGGAAGTGGGGGGGGTCTTTCTCTGACTCCTCCCAAACCAGTACCATGGAAACGGAGGATGTTTTTTACCAGGATTTTGTAAAATGCAGATTTTTGTTTGTCCTGTGATACTAGCAAAGATACCCCCTCTCTCTCTCTCTCTCTCTCTCTCTCTCTCTCTCTCTCTCTCTCTCTCTCTCTCTCTCTCTCTCGCTCTCTCTCTCTCTCTTTCCCCCCCTCTCTCTCTTTCTCTCCCTCTCTCTCTCTCTCTCTCTCTCTCTCTCCCCTCCCTCTCCCCTTCCTTTACTTGAAAGACAGAATGAAGTGACATGTTTTTATAAAATGGCCGCAAGCATTATCCATCTGGCAGTGGGAGGAGGTTCACGGGGTCACCATGGTGATGCCACTCACTTCCTTTCTAAACAATGTCAGATCCTCTCGACCGCGATGGCTCTTTGTGATGACATCGCTGTAAATTAAGTGAACCTCCCACCTATGACATCAGAGACCAAAGGGTCAGACTAGGCTCCTATGACATCACAGGTGACCTTTGACCCTGACCTGAGATGTTGCCATGGTGAATATTTGCAGCTTTTTAAACAGATTTAGAAGTGTTCAGCATGGCCACTCTTGTGTTGTAATGTGTGAGTTTGTTTTAACCCCTGGTTGTCTGTCAGAGCAGCATAGCAATAACAAGTGGGGCTTCTGTTCTAGAACTCTGTGGCTTCCAGAACCTCTGGGTTCCATCCTGCCTGTGGGAAAACATTATTTTGAAATAAAAACAGAAAGTTGAAATCTTGTGAGGGCTGTGTGTTTTCTGTCTGTGTGTGTGTGTTTTACTTCCTAGTGACCCTAGTGTATCTAGTGACCCTAAGTATCTAGTGACTATCTATACCTATACAATATCCACCAGGACTATCTATACCTATACAATATCCACCAGGACAAAACTGTACCTATACAAAAAACCCCCCAGGACTAAAATAAACCCATACAATACCCACCGGGGCTATCAACCTATTTAAAAATCCAACCCGGAAATATTTTATACCAAAAAATACCCCCAGGAATAAAAGTACCCAACAAAAACCCACCCGGGGCTACTGTACCCATTTCCCCTATCCACCAGGGAAAATCATAAAATATACAATTCACCCGACAAATGTACCTATACCAAAACCCACCCGGGGTAACTGTACCTAACAAAAACCACCAGGACTATCTAACCTTAACAATATCCACCAGGAAAAACTGTACCATACCCAAAACCCCCAGGACTAAAAAGTAAACCCAAAAACATTTCCCCCAGCACAAAATGTCCCTTTACCCAAAACCCACCCCGGGTATCTTAAAATTTTACAATACCCACCAGGGAAAATTTAAACCCCATAAAAAATCCACCAGGGGCCCATCTAACCTTTTACAATATCCACCCGGGACTATCTATACCTATTTCCCAAAAACCACCCCGGGGCTATATGGGACCTAACAATATCCCCAGGCTATCTGTACCCAAAACCTATCCAAAGGACTATCTATTTCCTTTTACCAAAATCCACCCGGATATATTGTACCTATTTAAAAATCCACCAGGATATTTTATTTCCATAAATATCCAAACCCGGGGCTATATGTACCTATAAAATATCCACCAGGGGCCCATCTGTACCCCTAAAATATCCCAAAAGGACTATCTATACCTTTTACAATACCACCCCCACTATATGGATATTTTTATCGAAAAAGGACTATCTATAAACCTTTTTACAATACCCTCCAGGACTTTTAAATGTACCAAAAAAAAATATCCCCCAAAAAACTATTTTATAAACCCATACCAAAATCCCCCAGGACTATTTTGGGACCTATACAATCCACCAAAGGGCTATCAAAACCTATCAAAAATCCACCAGGGGTATTGTACCCATACAAAATCCACCAGGACTAACTGTACCTATACAAAACCAAAACCCGGGAAATATAGGTTACTATCCCCCAAAAACCACAAGGGGTACGGGAACCTTTCAAAAAACCCCCCGGACTAAAAGTAAACCCTTTCAATACCCCCCCAGGACTAACTGTACCATTCCCCTACCACCCGGACACTGGAAAACCCCCATACAATACCCACCCGGACTAACTGACCTTTTAAAAATATCCACCGGGGCTAAAATGTTTCCCATAAAATATCCCCCAGGACTATATGCCCCATACAATTTCCCACCAAAGGGTAACTGTACCTGTACAAAAAACCACCCAGGGGCTATTTTTACCTATTTCAATACCCCCCAGGACTAACTTTTACCAAAATTTCAATATGCACCAGGGGGTAAAGTACCATACAATACCACCAGGAATATCATTTCCTTAAAACAATATGCACCAGGAATATCTAACCTTTACAATAAACCACCCCCCGGGGCTAAATTTTTTAAAAATACCCCCCCCAGGACTTTTCGTACCTATACAATACCCACAAGGACATCTATTTCCTATACAAATATCCAAACCCGGACTAACGACCCCATACAATACCCCCCAGGACTAACTGTACCTATAAAAATACCCACCGGGGACTACTTACTATACAATACCAAACCAGGACTACCTTACCTATACAATATCCCCCAGGACTATCATACCTCACAAAAACCCACCAGACTTCTATACCTATACAATATCCCACCGGGGACAACTGTACCTATACAATATCCACCAGGATTTACTTACCTATACAATACCCACCAGGATACATACCTTACAATATCCACCGGGACCTATCTATAC